TGTGTGTGTGTGTGTGTGTGTGTGTGTGTGTGTGTGTGTGTGTGTGTGTGTGTGTGTGTGTGTGTGTGAAAGTGAGAGTGAAATTCATTTTCGCTGGTAATATTTTCTGCTCAGGAGTGATTTTCTTGAGCCAGATTTGGAATTCTCTGGCAGTCAGTGACAACAAGGGGATTTGCTTTTGCTTACTCTCTCTGGTGCAAACACACACACGGGAAACCAAAACGAAGTAATTGAAAAGAAGTCTGTTGGTGTGCTTGTGCGCACATACACATTCGAAGAGAGAGGCCAGCAGTCTCCTTAATCAACACTATCAACGGGAACATCCGGGTCTTCTCTTTCCAGTCATCTTCGGATGCCTGGATCTAAATCAACATCTATAAATTGATTGGCTGATTCGACCTCAGAACACTCGGTCTCTCAATACACATTAAATAAAAATAGAGAAGACTAGGAATAACAACAATACGGATTTTGCAGTGCCTCTGCAGTGTCTGCCTGTGATTTCCCACCATTTCTTTTTTTAAAAGATTTTTAATTAGTCTTGGTAAAATATTCTAATTATATTTGTAGGCCACAATATGTGGGCTAGTATTTTATTTGTCCATTACTAAGTTTTTATAATTCTATATGACACACGTTGTTTTCACTTTTCTGCCTGAAAACGTGAAACTCCAAAATAATTTCTTCATTCTTTACAGTTTAATGTTTATACATTATGGAGCTCTTGAAATGAAAGACACTTCAAATTTTTTGTTTGCTGTCAGTGAGATAAGCACCCTCACGGGGGCTGTGGGACAGGAGGACTGTATGGTGACAATAAATAATAGTGAAACCTGGGTCCCCTACACACGAAACTTGTCTTTGCTTTTTTCTTATCGTAAAAACATAAAGTAAAGCACAGAGTAAGTGTACATTAATTATTTAACAAATACTTGGTTATAAGATTTCCTTTTATGACAGCTTTGACCATACATCTTTATAATAGTGCCACTTAAAAGCGCAGGAAGAACCTTCAGGTTCTCACCTGCGAGGCAAGGCAAGCTTTAACATTTTTCACTTCTCTCCTATATGATTCCACGTGACTGTTTACTGTGTGGGGCAAAGATATCTTCAGCGCTTTTACGGAGGTTTTACGCAACAGTATTCCTAACCTACATCCCATATTGTATCACATGTTCAATTTTACCAGTTATAAAAACAAAACATGGTATCTTTGTTGTAGTTCGAGACTCAGTATCCATTTTGCATACAGCTCGATGTCGGCATGCCAGATCAGTTCGTGGGAAAGAGCAAGCCTTCAAAGATCTGCTAGTTTATAGTGTTTATAGTGGCTAGCTTATTGTGTGACAGTACAATAGCACAATGGGCTTTCAGCGGACTGGTTTGTGCAGACAGTGAAACATAAGGATGAGGTGAGCTGAGCCAAACACTGACTGTGATGATTCCACTCCTGACGGCCAGGTGAAAACTATTTTTCTTCATTTTCAAACAGTCAGAATAAAGCTCCACCCTGCCCCCCTTTTAAACACAATATCACCTCATGAATATTCATAAAGTCTTAAATTCTGGTTTTATGGCATTATGGCAGAGCCATAAAAGAACTGCAGAGTGGGTAGGGGTGCTGTAAAATAGTTGCAAAAAGACCCTGACAGGCATAGTTCATCAACCCACAGTGGCCGCTGCGCAACCGGGCCAACAGTTTAAAGA